CCCCAGACTGCTGCACCAAGTGGGAGCTATGTGAAAATGGGGGTAGCTGTGAGTCTGCTAATCCAGCCATCAGTAAATCAGTTCTTCTAATTAGTAACATTTCACATTAGTAGCTTTTATTACATTAGAGTTAATAACCAGCTGATACATAATAGTGAAGTCATGGCAAAATGTACAGAGAGACTTGAACAAACTCATTAGCCCCGGGGCAGCTGCTCCTTTTGACCCTCTGCCCCCTCCCTCGCCCCCGTAGGCAGCCCAGGGGGCCTGCTGTAACATCACTGCCCCCCATCCGCGGCCCTGACGGGTCCCCACTAGCAGCAGCACTTTAATGTCAGCTGAGTACGGGCTGGTACCAGCAGCCACTTTTTACCAGTACGCCATACCGGCCTATACTGGCTTATTTTCAACCCCTGAGTACAACCCATATTGCCAATAACCTTTCTAACTGCTTAGTCAGACTTGTTTAAGAGCTATAGCTCTTGGGGTGGAGTTTCTGTTTATTGCAGCTTGCTGGGTGGCATTTTAGTCACCTATAGCCCTGCCTTCTTGGACACAGTTTGTGTGTAATTTAGCTTCCTAGCTAGCTGGGAGAGGCAACGGAGGTTAAAAGAGAGGTGAGATGAGACAGCAGAGTTCACCTGCTTTTGTATAAACATGTATTCCAGTCTTGACAGTTATGTGCAATTCTGTTCAGCCACATTAATGAAAGATAAAGGTATTGAGGCAGAATGGTCTCTTGGGCTGAGCACAGGGTTGGGTGTCAAGAACTCCAGAATCTTGCCTCTGTTGGGACACTGGGAGGGACGCCACACTTATCACGAACTGTGCGTGACAGGACATCAGACACTTAGGAGTGGTTCCTGTTTATCTTTCCTGGTATTACGTTTATGCTGACAGCATTTTATGAACATTGTTTGTTGCCATGCAAATTATGGAACACAGGCTCCTTTCCTTACAGCACTCAGTTATACAATCAAAACCCACAGGTGTAGTGAAATGGATTTCTCCCATATCCAAGGCACTTTTTCAATGGCTATCTATCAAAGTGCTTTCTTCTGGCAAGAGGAATTTATTTTCAGTAGAAAGGAATGAAAAGGCTCAAGATCAAAATGAAAATCATGTTGCATAGCATTTAATAAATAATCCAACATTAGTATTAGAAAGAATCAGCATCCAGCCTATTTTATTAATATTTATATTGATGTATTTTTAAACATGATTCTGGATCTCCCTTTCTCACCTTGTATCATTTCAAGGTTATTTCTGGTACCAGCGCATATTTATTAGGTGTATCTATGTTTTGCAAGTCACCTTCTCAACAGCTTGTTTTGTCTGGAAAAACTGGTTAGTTACACAGAAACTGAATTGCAAATCTAATCTTTGGAGTCTATTAACACTTGTAAGTCTGGTTGGTAAACACCATGTACATTGTTCAAGCTACCCTGTGACTTGTTAATTTCCTTGTTTATATTTAGGAAGAGGAGCCCCCATGTGCTTCTCTTCAGACTCCACATTCTAGTCAAAGACTGATTCTGTCATGTATCAAAACGATGTGACCATCCAGCATATTGGGGTAGAGACAGTGATCCCAGTGCTAGTTGAGAGATCAAGAGTTGATTGTCAGTGCCTTGCTTCTCAAGCTAGAAAGGGCAGGGGATGCTACAGAGGCAATACAGCAAAAGCCTAGTCCTGGACACGTTGGTCATCATAAATTCCCAGTGAAATCAGTGCACAAGACCTAGAAGCTAAGGTGCTCAGAGCTGAAAAACAAAGGGATCTAGCAACTCAAATATTGAAACAGAGGTGCTTTGTGGATCTGTAATGTTTCCCCATACCTGTGTAACCAAACACTCCAATGCCTAACCGCTGAAATAAATACGTGTTCTTATTTTGGCATAGTCAGATGTATTAGAATATACACGTACTGAAATAAACACAGCTGGGTTGATTCACCACACTATGTTTCCATGGTGATGTCAACAGGACATCCGCATTCATTGTCAGCGTGAAGGTACAGCTGTAACCATGTGTCACTGATGCGTGGCTATGACCACAGTATCTCACCTTGAATAGATTTTTGGTGGGGTCCTTCAGCATTTACACCAAACACAGCTGTGTTTATGCCAGTATGCACACAGCTCTTGGAAAGACATGAAGTAGCTGTAGGAAGGAAAGTGCTACACATGCTCAGCATAGCAATTGCAATCATTCTGAACTTCTTTCCAAACCTAATTTCTTCCAGCGCTGCAGCATGTGCCTTCAGTATCAAGGTCAAGAGGTTAAGTTTTAAAACAAAGTCAGTTGAGTTATGTGTGTGGAAAATAAATACCCTTTATCTTAAAAGGAGAAGACTTCTTCTCCAGGATTGCATAACTCAACAGGGTCTGAACAGAGTGATGAATGAATGAGGGGGTTTCGAATAGAACAGCTAATTCACTATAGCAATGGTACAGGCACAATAAGAATAAAATACTTTGCAGACATCTTCAAAGTGCTTTAAAATGTTAACTGATACAAACATCCCTGTGAGGCACTAGTATCCCCATTTTATAGATGGGTAACACTGGAAGTTGTGAGTTTGTATGTTCATGGAAGGCAGAATGTATTATACACTTGCAGTGATCTGTAAATATTAATTATTTAAGTACTTGCCCAAGTCAAAAAAACAGAGTCAGTCTTAGAGCTGCCATTAATATCCTGACTTTTAGTCTGGGATCATACCAAGGCACCAAAGCTAGAAGGAAATCTTAGGGACCATAGCATAAAGAAAGATCCAGGCCTACTTGTGATTTGACAGGATAACTTAGGGCATTCACAAACCTTAACATTTAACCCTATCCAGAAAAAATGCCTTGAGTTGTTCTACTGTATAGCAGGGAGTCCAGCATCTGTGGCAATGAATACCTAGAAAAGTCAAAATCTGATGTCAGGTCAGACTGTTGCCATTGATATGGCCAGTTTGCAGTTTCCAATGTGTTCTTAGGATCTAAGCATCTGGAGTATTAATACAAATGAGATTATTATAATAAGCCTGGGAACCAAGATTCCTATTTGGGTGCATTTTAACATAACACTATGCAGGCTCAGGTTCAGTACAGTCTTTGAGAGTGCTGGCATTGCAATGAAATGTATTACAGTTTACATACCCCATTTAATTTTTTATAGGACTCTCCAGCTCACCCATGCACCTCTGGCTCTGTTTTCCAGCATCCCATTTGTTAGCTGGCACTTTATTTTTTTTTACCTAGGATTGTTCTAAATAGCACTTCATAGGCAAAGGCAGCATTCTCTAGGTCCATTAATCATATTTCTCAGACTTTGCAAGAGTAGAAATTTACTCCACTTTTAAGGACTATTGGCCACATTTTGTTCCTAGTATCAGAGGGGTAGCCGTGTTAGCCTGGATCTGTAAAAAAAAAAGCAACAGAGTGAATGGGTGAATACCCATGCGTCTGACGAAGTGGGTATTCACCCCCAAAAGCTTATGCTCCAATACATCTGTTAGTCTTAAAGGTGCCACAGGACTCTCTGTTGATTTTGTTCCTAGTTAAATGGATGTAAATGCAGAGTTATCCCTACCCCTTTCAGCTTCTACATGGGGTCCATACACCTGTCACATCTATAGAATAATTTTCTGCAATCAGGTATGTGCCTAGCTATTTACTGTGGAAATGTCCGTAGAATGGTACAGATGACTCTCTAGAACAGTGGCTCTCAAACTTTTTTACTGGTGACCCCTTTCACATATCAGAGCGGTAGCCGTGTTAGTCTGAATCTTTAAAAAGCAACAGAGGGTCCTAGGGCACCTTTAAGTCTAAAAGAAGAATTGGGAGCATAAGCTTTTGTGGGTAACAACCACTCTTCCTTAGATGCAAAGCTTGCCTTAGAAAAAGGGA